ATGGACGAAGTACACTGCTGAGGGGAGCAGCGGGCGGGTCAGGAGAGGTCTGCCACGCCATGTGGTCACCTCCGGGGCAGGCGGGTATCGAACTCATGCGGAAGCGGCTTTAGATTCTCAGTGCTGTGCTTTAACCCGCTGCGCCACCAGGGAGGGCCCGATACTGTAGGTGTCTTTTAATAAGCAGCAACTGGGTTAGGCACTCTGCTAGTTGCTTTATATACAGAAATCCATTTTTTTTGTAGCTAAAGAAACCAAGGTTCAGAGACTAGGTGTTCAAAAGAACATAGCTATTACATGGTGAAAGCAGGATAAGAAACAAGGATTGTGTGATTAAAAGTTCATATTCTAATGGAAATATTCCTCACATTTTTGGAACTGCAAAGGCTCAGATATGTTATGTAAGTTTGCCAAACAAAATAATAGTAGCTAAGGTGAGAGATTTCTCTATTCCCACCTAAATGCTACAATGATTTGAAAAGGTAAGCCCACTATGGCATGGTTATCTGCCTCCTCCCCCTATACTTGTCCAGGTCTTTATAAACAGATATCCCAGCATCTCTAGGCCCTCTGGGAAAACAGACAAGAGGGGGAGGAAGGATACTATAATCTGATAAAAGGAAAATTGGGTGCTTTTTGTTCAGGGAACAGCTTTTCAATAAAGTTTATATCAGAAAACCCACTAACTGAAAATGAACATTAAAAAGGTATCCAATTTTTTTTCAGAGGTGTGTGTGTGTCTGTGTGTGTGTGTCTGTGTGTGTGTCTTTCTGACTGTCATCTCCCTCTGTCAGGTCTCTATCTCTGTGCCTTTGCCTCTATGTCTGTATTTGGCTCATTCAGGCTCATTGTCTCTGTCTCTGTCTTTCTGTATCTCTCCCTCTTTTTCTCTATCTTGTTTGTTTTAGAAGTTGAGAAAAGCTAGCTATGTGGATCCTAGAACAGTTTACGCTGAACCAGATGGTGCATCTGATTAGCATCAGACTAAAAAGACACATTACTTAGAAATTAGGTTCTCATAGGGACAAATCTGTTCCAAAGGCACAGAAGGTTTGCTTTTCCTGTAGACTCCCTTCAGAGTTTTCTCAGGGCATATCTATTCATCCTTTCTGTATCATCAGCACCATGCAAGTCTGAGCTTGGGTTGAAGAAGACAGTGAATTAGCTGCTCTAGATTTCTCAGCTTTCCTCTTATTGAACTCTACAGTCATTCACACAGGTCTGACCACTCCCTGTTGGACATTGGCTGCTGGCCACACTCAACTCCCTTATTGTCCAGGCTTTAAGGTCACATTTCACCACTGAGTCTCCACAACAAGACCTATTCTGTGGTTATTCTTGCTTTACAGATGAGAAAATTTGTATTTAAAAGGATTAAGTAATTTATTCAATATCAATAAAAGTTTAGGCTAACGGAAGCTAATTGCCTCCATGAGATAAAAAAAAGTGTTTGTGTGTGTGTGCACATGTACACACACACTTATGTTTTAAAAGAGTTCCAAGGAGTAAATCATCACAGAGTGTGCCTGCTGGGTGTCGCCAAACTATGTGACTATGTTGAGGTTTGAAGCAAGTTAAAGAATGAAATGAGAAACCACTGGCATCTCACCCTGACCAATACTTCTAGGAACACATAATGTGGACCTTCTGTAAAAATTAAATAAAAATTGGAGAGACCACTTAAAACTAAAATGGGAAGTACACACAGAACAATTCCTTTTAGTCATCAGATCCTGTATTTCTCAGATCCTCAGAAAAAACATGTAGCTTCCCAGGAAACAGGGAAGCTTGACTTAGGGTAAAGTGCAACTATAAAACACAAAGGGAGTCTCCTACTATAAAGAACATGAAAGTCAAGATCAAATGTGGCAAAATGAAAGGAGCAGCAGAAATAATAACCTCACCACCAGTAATATTAGTTATCACTTAGTATTGGATATTATGATGCTGATAAACACTTTAAATACATTGTATGTTTCATTAGCCCACACAACCTTCCTCATTCTACAGCTGAGCTTACTGAAGATCAGAGAGTTTAAATAAATTGCCCAGAGTCACACAGCTAATAAGGGATAGAATTAGGTATCCTAACAAGCCCAAGAACCAATCCCTTTAAATATTAAACCTTCTCCTCTTTTCCATAGATCATTTTGAAATATGCTGATAGGATAATCTGCTAAAATTTCAGAAAGTGCCTAAAAGCCGCTGGCCAAGCTGCTTGATGTCAATACAAATGTTCCAGGCTGTAGAGTTCAAACCAGTGCCCCTGTCAATAGTCCAGCCAATTTGCACATCTGGCAGCTAAATGAGTGAAGCCTCAAAGTAAATCACATCCCTGAGGCACAGGATACTTCACAGCGGAGAGTAATGGGAGAGATTCCATCACTTTTGAGAATTGGTCAAAGAATCAAAGTCACTTTATTTAAGGATATAAAGAGAGCTACAAACCTAAGAAACACAGACACCCAGAAGGTGTTTATGAAGCCTGAATATATTAACTTGGAACTTGAGAACCTCAGAAAGGGGGGTGAACTAAAATCTCTTGGGGCTATTTTGGGAAGATAGTTCACTTAGCACTTAAGAAATGGGAGAGGATCTACTTGTTAAGCTGTGCAAAGGTGTGCATGGCTTTCACAGGTGAAGCTAATAGGAACAAACTAATAGTTCACTGTATTTAACAGTCTCCAGAAGTCTCTGTTCACCTAGTTTATATAAGTATTAAAAATAAGAATTTTTCGGGCCCTCCTTGATGGCACAGTGGGTTAAAGCACAGCAGTAAGAAGCTAAAGCCACTTCAGCAGGAGTTTGATCCCCGCCCCAGAGGTGACCACACAGTGTGGCAGACCTCTCCTGACCCGCCTGCTGCTCCCCTGAGCAGTGTGCTTCGTCAGTCGGCCTGTTCTGCTCCCCACTCTGTCTCTGGTGAATCCTCTCACTGTCCTTGAGCCTCTGACCTGTTACCCAGTTCTATATGCATAAGTAAATCTTTTTAAAAAATAAGAATTTTTCATTTCCTTTATAGCTGTAAAACACTAAGGTTGTATAGCTAATGTTAATCATAGGATTTTACTAAATCTGAAACTCAGGGGCACAGCAGGAGTGGCAGTAGCAGATGCCATGGCTGCCCTGTGACTATGCTAGCCCCGAGCAGCTGCTGCCTGGCCCAGGAGAGGTGAGTCCAATAATGGAGTTACTCTGGCTTCCATGAGGATGGCACTGCCCCCACATGCCCAATCCAGGATGGTGAAAATCTTCCCTCTGGCCTTGATTCTAAGCTGTGCTCCTAACAACGAAGGTGGCTCTAAACAAAGAACGGGAACCCAGTTAACCCCATTCTCTGCTGCCTGTGCAAAGTTAGTCCTTACCATGTCCCTAGGACGGGACTCAATTCATCTCTACAGTTGACACCATCTGAGGTCCAGGAAGGGATTGCCAGGGCAGGAAAGGCCAAGCATATTTTAAAGGGTTCAGGCTGGTGGCAATTTATTCTGTCTTCTATGCAAGCCTGAACTTGAAAGTCACAAAAGGCTCATATAGAAATATCCTATTAATGCAAGGATGCAACAATACTCACCAGGATTAGTAGCAAATCACCTTGTACAAAAGGACTTGCACAGAGAAACCACATATATACTGCCTTCATTTGTCATGATGCCTCTGTTTAAATGGTCAAGAAACTACAAACATAAATATAAAATTACAATGGCCACCTTTGTTTCTTCATGTTCTTCCCCTATCTTTAACTGCAGGGGTAGGAGTCAGCCAGCAATTTTGGATATAACATATTAAACAGGCATAAGGCTGAGGGATTAGTGAAGTGGTTTTTGAATATTTCTGTGATTACCAAGCAATTTGCACAAATATTCAAACTTCACTCTGAATAATTCAACTGGGTGATGACTGATTCTCTGCTTTCTAAGACCTACTGTTTCTTACAGTTTCTTATACAGCATGCCTCCCATCTTATCACTGACCAAGTCTGGACAAAGAGGAATTCAAAACTGGAAAGTGATGGTCTCATCTTGGAAAAATCAATCTGACCTCCAATCATCTTTTCTCATCATCCTTACATAGCTGAGTGATGTCAGGGCTTTACTGGATATGAGGTGAGTAGTGAAGATTGATTCCAAAACTGAAGCTCTTAAGGGTCAGAGGTCTAGTGGTCACCAGAGATCATTTATGCTAAGTGAACTCTGACCACAACTCTTGCCCCAATCCACTGTTGCCCTCTGCTCTCCAAGAAAAAAACTTTATGTAAAGAAAGGCAAAGTCCAGTGAAGTTGTATAATATGCTATTACTAAGTAATAACAATAATGATAATATTAATATAAACAGACCAGGAAAGAATACCATCTATATGCATTTGATTGTCCATGGAATGTGTCTGAAAGCAAAAAAAAGAAAGTGGAAAGGTATGGAAGTAACTATTATAAGGTCTGCTGAGACCCTTTTCATCTCTACCATTTCACATTTTGCATTTGATCCACATAAATGTATTACCTACCCCCCAAAATCTAAATTTTTGAAAACTAAAAAACAATAAATGGAAATAGCTAATTCTTATTCAACCAGAATCTCTGAAATGGGTTTCAGGAATCTGTATTTTGTCCACAAGCTCCCCATTTTATTTTTACACTCTTCACATTTTGAAAACTTCCCTAACACAGGTTCTTTCTACAAAAAGAAACTGCACCTACTTCCCCTGAGTTAAGGACAGTAAGTATAAACCAAATGGGGGAGGAGACCTCATAGCAGTATGACCTGAATTCTGACTCCAATCTTAACCACCACATTAGACTTATAAAACAATACAACCTAAGCTTTCCTCAAGTCAATTTAGATTATGATAACTAAGTTGTTAGTTACTGCTGCTTTTCATAATTATTCAGACCAGGAGAGTTGCTAGAGAAGAAATGATTTAGTAACTGGGCAGGTTCCTCTGTCTTGTGAAGACAGACACAGCAATACCTGACTGACTAAGATGATGCTTTGCACTCACCTTGCTTTTTAAAGAGGTTGCTCTGGACTATCTCATTCATAGACTGGACTTTCTGCTTCTGGAGTTTCACAGGGGGGATGCAGGTATAGAATTCATACAGGAGTTGGCTGAGGACAGGAAAAACAAGAGCATGAAGAGCCAGTGAAAACTGGCACCTCCTACCTCATTACACTTACAGGGTCCCTGGACCATGGGCTCTGTAGCTCAGTGGAAGGAGAAAAGATGTACATCCTGCTCCCTACCCCCAATTCCTGGCATAGTGTCAGGTGGATAGTAAGCCTTCAGTAAATGTGTGTAGCTGGTGGTGAATACTAATATCATTCCAAGAGATATGAAAATAATACCAATAGCATTTATTGCACCAAGAAAATGCTTTACACTTTACATCCTTTGAGCCATTAAAACCTCACAGCTCTATGAGGTAGATGCAATACTTATTCCAAATTTATAAGTGGAAAAGCTAAGGTTTAAAAAGGTTAGCTAACCTTCCCAAGATTACATAGTTCAAGATTCAAAGAAACAAGGATTTAAAACTAGGTTCTCACTTCACTATAAAATGACATTTTATACACTAAAGTTTCTTTCTCAGTAATGTTGGTAAATCTGAGATCAAGAATGCTCCTTAATTTAAAAAAAAAAAAAACTGTAAAAAGTTAGAAACAATTTAAGACACAAAAAAAGGACATAGCTCTTCCCAAATAGAATAAAGAGAAAAATACCCTCCCAAATGAAATTACAGTCTCGTCAACTTTTTAAAATAAGCTCGTTGTGCTCATTTATTCTTTCCAGTACTTATGAAGCATCTGCTTAGGATGTGACAGCCGATTAGGATAGATTGAGTCTCACTGGCCTGGAACTAACATTATAATGGACGTCAACATACACCACCTGAAGCAAAAAAATCAATACAAGGCAATAGATGTAATGAAGGAAATAACCAGGGAGCTGTGTCAGAGAGTAATGGTTTAGAGTTGAGGGGAATTTAATTTATTTACGATATTCAGAGGTAACTTATCCAGAGAAGCTAGCAATTAATTTGAGACCTGGAGGATAGAAGGAGTCAGCAGAACTTTTCCACATGCACATAAAAGAACATCAGTGAAAAAACTGATGAAATCTAAATAAAGTCTGGAATGCAGTAGTGAGTAGAACAGTACCAATGTTAAATTCTCAGTTTAGGTAAATATACCATAGTTATATAAAATAGTAACATAAGGGAAATCTGGGTAAAAGTCCTGAGGGAACATTGTATTATGTCTGTAACTCTTTGAGAAAATCTTAAAGTATTTTAATATAAAAAGTTAAAATTATTTGAACTCTTGGAACTTTTATGAATTTAAGAAAAAATAAGGAAAGGGTATATCTGGCTCCAGAGTCCCTAATCTAACAGCATAACCACATTGAAATAGTGTGTCCATCTCATAAAAGGAATGGAGTTATTAAGAAGAAAGCAAAAAAGGCTCCCATCTCTGTTATCCCTGTAGATACCCACAGGCTGTTCTCCATCTGCTACTACAGGGTTTGCAGGGGAAAGGCTGTAACCTCAAAAAGCCTTTAAGCCCAGCTGAAATGGAGACACTTACACCAAGCACCAGTTTTTGTTTTATTTTTTAAATTACGTGTTTGAATTTTGTACCATTTGTATCATCAAAGGGTGCTTATTTGATAGTCGGTTTTCACCAAAGCCTGGCACAAGAAAATTAACGTATAAAATTCCAGACTGGAAGCTGGTATGGAGCTCCGTCCATGTATTCTCCCTCTCCCCAAGCTGAGTGCCCATCTGGATCTCCACACAAAAGCCCTCCTCTTCTTCTGAACCCTTGATTTGCCGACCTAGAGGCTAGGAAAGTGCATAAGCTCTCACCTGAGTAATTTCGCATCAAAGACCATTTCCACGTCATGAAGGACAGATGGTATGTATTTCAAAGCCGCCACCTGTGTGGAAAGTGAAATAAACATGAATGATGCCCACATCCCACAAGGGAGAATGACCCTGCTTTCTGGGCACTGCTTTTCAAAGTTGTATGTAGGCTGAAACATAAACTTAAACTTCTTTATATACAAAAGGAAGTCATAATTGCTAGCTTTAAAGAGGCAGTAACACATAGAAAGGTAAAGAACTTTAAGATTAAATATCTATAATAAAATCCTGTATCTAATCCTTAGTAGCCATGCAGTTTTAGACAAAACACTTAACCTCTCTGATGTGACCATTTACATCTCTGTGAAGTAGAAGAAATAATATCTATTTTGCAGGATTGAGAAGACTGAAGATGAAATATGTGAGGGATCCAACAGACTGTCAGACATATTTTTAGAACTCAATAAGTAAAAACTGCATTCCCTTCTATTGAGTATTGGGAGATAAAATGTCTGAGTTGTACTGCTGGTGGCAAGGATGGCTCGGGCTCAGTTATTTGTATTTTCTCTCCGTGGACAATTTGTGAAAAAATAGTGGGCATATTTTGATGCACAAGGCAATTTGGACAGCTATGCTTTGGTGGTAGATGGTTTCTTTCCTCTCTGCAAGTTAATTGTTGCATACAGGTGTGAAGAAACACCCAGCCACCCCACACAACACCACCCTTTGCTAAGCAGCAGGAGAAACACGACCATTTCCACAAAAGTTGTAAGTCACAGAACTGGAAAATAATGTTTAAGACTCTGGAGGAAAGATGAATTATTTAATTTCCCTTTTTTTTTCTATATATTCCATGAGTTCTATAGTCAACATGTATCACCCTTTAATAATCAGAACAAAATGAAAACATTCTTTTTTTAAAGAAATTGCATTCCTAGCCCTATATAATTGAGGTTGTTAGAAAAAAATAAATAACTATTGTGACTACTTTCTGAGAATTTTCTGAGAGACAGTGTTTTGGATAACGATAATTGATTATTTTGCTAGACCTTATTTCAGACCCTAAAAGGAAAACACTATTTTCATAAATAAAGAACCTCTGACAGATCAAGATTCAATAAAGGAGTCCAAGGTCAGATTCAGTCATACTTCTTTTAAATTGTTCTTTTTAGAATTACTCCTTAGAGCCCTTAAGCTACCCGCTCACCTTACTCAGATAGTCACTGTCTCTATGTCTCCATCCTTTTTATTCCTGGTTATGATTTTTAAATATCAGTAAAACACATTGGAAGTAAAACATATTCACACAAGATAAGGGCTTAGGGTAAAAATGATCCCTGTCTCCCATATCTCACATTCTCAGCCCCAAAATGGATTCCCAAAAGGGACACACATGTCAACATGATTGTGAGTTCCCTTTCTGAGTACAATGCATGATCCCAAGTACTTCTGTGCATACATGTGCGTGTAATTTACACAATATGTTTTGTGCAGCTAACCATACACCACCAGTATCTTTGCTTGTCATTTTCTAGAATGTGATCATTATTTCTCACTGTAACTCAGGCATGCTCACATAGGTACACCATGGCTTCTGTAATTCCTTCTCTACTAATGGGCTCCCAGTTACCTGTAGATTTTATTTATTATAAGATAAATGATAAGAAAATAGTTATATTTGTGTACCTGTTAAGAATCCCTGTGTCAAAGGAATTCATGCATCAAAATGTATGTGTTCATAAAGATAGAGGATGGATGGATGGAGAGAGAGATAATTTAGGGAATACTGTCCTAGCACCACAGAAAAAGTGATAACCAATTTCCTTTAACTAACTGCCTTTTCTACATAACTTTGATAGCATTAATAAATACATGTTCTAATTTTTGCTAGTCTAATACATAATTTGTACTTGTAATTTGTTCGTTTTGGCTTTTAGTGTTGCTGGGTACCTTTTTCAGATTTTTTGAACACCTGTGTTTACTAAATTACTTGTTTATAATCTTTCCTCATGGGTTGGAAAGGGTTATTTCTTCTCTCATTGAGTTATGGGATTCTTTGTGAACAGTTGTTGCTAACCCTTACACAGTAACATGCTTTGTAAGAATTTCCTCTTCCTTGTCCTGTTGTTTATTGCTTGTCTTTTAGCTTTGATTATCATATCTTTCATTGCACTGAAGGATTTTAATTTGCATACTGCCAGATTTGTGAGGCTTTCTCTTTTTAGTTATTGGATTTCTGTGTCAAGAGATTTATTCTTTATTCTTTCAAATCTAGATGACAAGAGATAACAAGATTCTAGAGTCAAAACTATGTTTGATTGGGATTCCTATGTCCTGTAGGATGGTGTTTCAGATATTCTGTGAGGTGAAAGGTTTGCAATCAAATAATCTTGGAAAACTCTAGCTTAAGCAAATATAAAAGAGTGAGTTTTCTGTAGCTTCAAAACTTTTTTCAGAATTTGAGTATGTTAAGATGCATTATGATATTCCTCCAGGCAGTCAAAGGATACAATTTATTTCATCTTCATTGGTCATGAATCACTATCAGGAAACACTAAGCACATACAGTAAAAGCAGATCCTTAGTGGGCTGGACAAGCAACAGAAAGGAGTATAATGGGATGAACATAGGCCAGTAGAAAGTGATGAGGTATATGGAACCCATCTCTATCCAAATAATGAGTCATTCTGTTTCTTTTCTTTTTCTTTTTTTTCTTTCTTTTTTTTTTTTTTTTTTTTTTTTGTACACTGTGCTGGTCAAGTCAGACACAGCTGCAGGCCATTCTTCTCCCAAGGGCAATCAGTCTATACCTTCTAAACTCTGAAAAGACACCATGTGCTGAGATATACGCCCTGAAGGGGCCAGTCCAAGCACTCAGAAAAAGCTGTTCCTTCATTTATTTTTAGATCAAATAATGTAGAACTCTGGGCCTACAGGGACCAGGGCAAGAATCCCAGGTCCTAATGGTCTCCAAGTTTTCTTCATATTTTACTTACTATAAGATGCTTGTTAAGAAAATAGTGTGCATGTTTGTGTTTCTGTGTTCCACTTGATACCTGTGTGCACCCAGTGTTCCACTAGCATCTGCATGCGCCTTTGCCCATTTCTGTATCCTGAGTTTTGGCAACTTTGTGAGAGGTGAAGAGGTAGAGTATAGCATACACCTGGCGTAATGTTCAGCACACAGTAGGCTCCTAAGGGATGTTTGTGGATCTTTCCTCATCTCAGCTTTCAAGCACCTGCCCTTATTCTTCAGTGTCTAGACAAAGTATAATGTTTGCTTCTCCTAATTAAAACCAAGTGAGAGAACAAAACTCTCGGCAAGCTGGGGTTTTCTGAAGCCAGGACTTCAGAGTTTGTATCAAGTTGCTAGCTTTCAAGGACTGTAAATCATTCCAGGGCTTTGAAGTGATGCTGCAGAATAGCAGACACCAGAAGTCGACAGCAACACTCAAACTTAAATGCTTCAGCCATTAATGGAGAGAAGCTAGACAGGGCTGGGAGAAGGGCTGCTTGAGAAGAGCCAATTCCTCCAGCTTCCCTTCACTAGACTGGCAATAAAGCAAAACAAACTGAATAGCTGTCACCCTGAGAATCAGAGGGTGTTATCAACTCAACTGGAGAGTAAACTTCCATCTGGTCCAGGCAGGCTCACAGAGAAGTGACAGGTCTGTGGTTTTCTTTTCTAATGGGGACAGCCCATCTCTGACCCAGGAAGTTTGCCAATCCTGTCGTCAGTCAGCATTGGCCCCAGGGTTCCCAAGCCCAGTCCTCCCCTCCACATGGCATTGGTGCACATGTGAGAGGTAAGAGCAGGTAAGCTCAGCAGGTGCTCTCACTAAGCACCTCTGGATGGCAGAGCAGCTAAGCCATACGCCCTCTGAAGACCTCCATGTGCTACATGTTTCTAAGTCTGGACACTAGAAATATCTCAGCCATCAAGATCTATACTTCATATAGAATTTAAGAAAAACATATGTTTATATGTACTTATGAACAAATATGTATAAAACAGGACTATCAATCATGGGGCTTTAAAAAAGCTTTATAACTGTCTAATATTTTGCACACATGATCTCATGGCATTCTTAGAATTACTCTGTGAGTAGATACTGTTATCACATTTCACCAATGAGGAATCTGTGGCACAGAGAGGTAAAATAAATTGCCAGAAGCCACCTAATTAACAACATAACAAGAATATTTACCTGATTCCATCATGTTCCTGACCAGAATGATCTGCCATTGTCCACCTTGTTTTAGGAAAGGCTTCCTATCTTGACAAGTGGGAGGTTTGATAGGAAAGAGAAAGCTGACTGGATGTCGGGATGGGAGGGGTGGGGAGGATTACATATAGCACTTAAACCTTTTTGTGGGGATAGTCTTGTGAAGGTACAGATTTCCTGACATCTCTCAAGTTAAGGATCATCCTAGCTACATATATGCATAGGAAGATTGCAAGAATAGTCACCAGGAAACTGTTTGCCAGCTCAGCAAATATTTTACTGAGTGGCACCAAGTGAATTTCCTAGACTAACCATCAATTCCAAACTCTGACAGCATCAATAAAAAGCAAGAGCCAAGCCAGAAGAGAAGTCACAGGAGGACACATGAGACAATTGATTTCCAGATGGACTTCACCATAACTGATCATCCTGAGCTGCTAAGAAATAGTAAATGTTTAAAAGTAACAACAACACAAAAAATCTAAAACTGCTGTACTCCCTCAAAACTCAAAGGGAAGTTTTCTTCTGAGTTTTTGCAGGCTTCTCTCTCTCTCTTTCTACACATACACACACACACACACACTATATGCACATATGCACTGTAAGCATAAACTGTACAATTCTTCTAGATAAGAACACATATTACAATTATTACAGGAAGTTTTACAAAAACACTAGACACCTTTCTTATTTCAGAGCACAGACAATATTCCCATACTACCAATTTTTATTTTAGTCAATTGATGAATGGATGCTCAAGGCCTAAGGAAACTGAACAATCAAATATCACAAGAATTCACCACCACAGGATAAGAGAGGGTAATTTCCTTACAGATAGTGAGCTGTCCTGAAGAAACTCTCAGGGCATTTGGCCTCATCACTTATTTTTCAGGAAAGAGAAAATGGATCAACAAGTTCTAGAACAAATCTCCATGCTTTCAGTAACCCCTAAGTCTCAGGAGGAGGCCAAAGTTCAGTACTTAAAAGAGCTGGAAGAAAAGGAAGATTGTTGATGGGGGCCACTTTTATCAGTGAGGCTGGTACATTAACTCTGTGCTCCAGTTTCCTCATCAGCAAGATGAAGGGAATCATGTTACTTAAGTTGCAGTTTATGTGAAAAATGTGTTCCTGCTATGACTGTAGCTGTTTCATTGGAAAAAAAAAAATCTTTTCCTCTTCATCACTACCCCGTGAAGTTTAGGAGGGGATAAGATTATGGAATCATTCAGACATCTGAGGTAAAACTGTCACTCCTGCTGTTACACATTATGTTTAGTTTCTCCTACCTCTGGAGCCAGTATTCAAGTGAGGGTCACTTCTCAAGAATGGGCCACCGTCTTCCCTTAGTCCACACATTTAAACATTTTACATCAATTAGTGAGGAAAAAAAAAAAAAAAAGGAAGAGGCTCCTCTTCATGACAGTGGCCCAAATACCTGCCCATTTTCCTGTGACCTGCTATTATTTATGGCTCGCCCACCTGGAATTTTGCCAATGAAACTATTGATACTTTGCTTGTTTGTGCTTAAGAATGCAAACTCTGGAATTATGAAGCCTGGATTCAAGTCTCAGATCTGCCACTTCTAGACAATAAGTTGTTCATTCTCTCTAAGCTTCAATTTCCTGAGCTGTAAAGTAGAGGTAGGAAGGCTATTTGCTAATAAGGTGTATCGATAAAAATCAAAGGAGATAGGGATCTACACACACACACATACACCTGTGTATACATATGTGTTTGTGATAAAGCTTTTAGGTTAACATGCAACACGATAAATGCTAAAACACAAAACTGTGGAAAACAGTATTCATTCATCTAGCCAAAAGACATCCAAGTGCCTATTAAATGAGAGATCTTAGTTCAGATACTAGGAATATAATCTCCCCACCCACCCTCCTGGACAGTCCAGAGACCATCATGATGACCAAGGGAGCATGCATGCCATTCAATATGCATATTCATTCATTCCCACCTATATACCATAATATTGCAGCATCTAGTTGCACAACTAGAAGTTCATAATATCATGAATGTTTTCACTCTTGTTTGAGCTACACCCAGTTCATAAGTGTCTGGTGTTCACCCTCTTAACACACCATCAGTTCTATCAACAATGGCTGTGGGCAAGCACAGCCAGGGACTTGTGAGCATATGGTCCATTGTTGAAAAAACATCAAAACACCTTGTTTAACCTATTCTTTGTGACATAAAACAAATATTAATTTTGAATTTAAGAGATCTGGTTGACTAAAATCCTTGTACCACTACAATGGATAGGTAGGATTTGTGAAGTATTATTTATGCAATGAGCTTCCTGTGGACACTGCAGACTGCTGCCTTGCAGGTCTCTGGCAGGATGAAGAGCCTAGGTTCATGCCTGGCACATGGTAAGTGCTCAATTAATGGAAAATGTTTTTAATGTTCTTTCAATCCTTTTGAGTCGCTGGCTTTAAATTCACCCCAGTTTTGGGTGAGCTGCTGCCATGTCTATTCTGAACTATAAGGAAAACTGCAAAAAGCAATTCACAAAGCCAGCTAAATCTTAGGAGTGAGAAATAACTTGCTGATATTAAACCAGATCCACTCCACTTCAAACTAAGACAGGCAAGAATTAGGATTTCAACCAGATGTGGCTCCCAAGTAGGAAATGTAAAGGCTAAACAAGGAATGCCCATCACTGATATCCTATTCCATGAGCTCACTCACAACTTATTGCAAATATTTTGAACAAATCGTAGCTCTCTGGCCACTGCATTTCATGCAGACTCATAATCAAGGCACAGTGGTCTTGTACTATTTCATCAGGTGAAAGTTAGCCTCCACTTTCTTTACACAGAGTCCCATGCTTGTAAATTTATTCTTTCTGAAATGTGTATCTGTGCTTCTTGATGATCTAACTGGGTATCATAACCCTGTCTAACCCCATGTGACAAGGTTAGGAACACAAATAGCCCCTTCCACATTCTGCTCTAGTAAAATACCTCCACAATATTCTGTTTTATAATGAGGGAAAGGAGGGAGAGGTATAAGTACTGAAAATAATTTAAACTGAGCCATGTAATGGACCATTCTTTACATATATTACTATATTTAATTCTCTAAATAACCCTTGATATTTGGGACTACCATTTTATAAAAGATAAAAGGCCCAGGAAATTGAAATGATTTGCCCAATATTACATGCCCAAGTGTGAGTGCCCAATTTTCAATCTCTGTCAGTTCTCTGGCTAGAAATCTAAAACTGTGGCAAAGCCTGTAGAAGATTCCTTGTGCTGAGCTAGCTGACATCACATGGTCTTGTCACCTCTCCCTTCATCAGTGCATTCCTCACATCCTAAAACAGCAATGACTTTTTTTCAAACAGTACTGTTTGCCAAATTTGAATATGATTTTAATTTCTTCTTTTACAGTTTTCAACAGCTGTAGAAATAAATGGTGGACAGCATCACTGATTTTATGTAAATCCCTGAGGCTAAATTCGATCCCTAGAGAAATTAAAAAAGAACGAAGTCCCTTTCCATGGCACTGGGGTGAAAATACATGAGAAGGAGCCAGCATAATCTGGACCAAATCCCAAGGAAAACAAGGCATTTCTAACACAGCTACCCAAACAATAAGAACCTGAGTAAAATGACTCATGCCAACACCATAACAATCATTGTTACTTCTCCACCATATTTGTATAGCATTTTATGATTTGCTTTTTTGCAGACAATGTTTATTTGATCCTCACCCAAACAGTTAAGTTTTATGGATGAGGAAACAGAAGGCTGAGATTTAATGAACAGTATGAGGTCATAGCGCTGATGAAAAAGAATAACTTTTTGATCCAGGTTTCCTCTGTATTGTAAGTTCTATTGACTCAGCTCTGCTTTTTTGTTTCCTTTTTTATCTTGTCCTTCTTTTATCCCCCTAACCTTCTTGTTACCTCTCTCCCTTCCTTCATTTCCCCATGACATGTACAGTTCAACAGAGGGAAATAGGTGCTGCCTTGGAAAGAGGAGTTCCATGATGGCTTGTTCCATCAGATTTCTCAAGATCATGTCGTCTCTCTCCATGAAGCCTATACATCTCAGAAGATGGCTTTGTCCATTCATCACCATTTCTGCTCCCTCACATTTCTAGTTCTCGGGAACATATTTTAGAAGTGAATCTGTGCCATAGGCTTCTTTCATTGCAATTGTTCGTTCTGGGCTCCCACCTGAGACCTAAGACAGTAGTTGTCTCTGGAAGCTCAGTTCCTTCCATTATAGCAGGATGAAGTGACAGGTTCCAGCTCTCATACATTTTTTTCATGATACTCCAGTTCCTGTTATTCCCTTGACTTTGAAATAACGAAGGATTGAAGAATAGGGGGATTTTTTTTTTTTAAATACAGCAAGAGGGAAGAGAAGGTGGAGATTTTAAGACTGCAGTCCTAACAGTCATTATCTCCATGAGGTGCCAAACTAGAAGAGAGCTGAACCCCAGCCACTCTTGATTGCTAGCATGGAAACCTGAGGAACTATGAATCCTAGTTTCAGTTTCTTCATCTATAAAATGGAGACATTAAAATCTCTCTAAAAGTAGTTCATTCAGTCATTTGGAAGACTTGAATAAGCTATGATTAGCACTATTCTAGGTTCTGAGGATCAGTAACTAACAAGGCAAAGCTTATATGCATATACACACATACACACACTCACACACACACACCCCACTGTAGTTTCCTCTCTAACTCATATCAAAAGAGACTATTTGCAAAGTGATTCCTAAACTTTGTCTTATATTACAATCTGCAAAGTGAATATGTAAATTAGCAACTAAAAGGAGAACATCAATTAAAAGACATAATCTGCATGAACTCATTGACTCAGATAATGTATTTGCATTTTCTTATTCACAACCCACTGGCAGCTCCTTACTTGCCAGTAAATTCTGTGAAAATATGAAGTTTCCCTGAAACAGACTCTTCATTTAGCCTCTTTGCTGATAACCTCTCTCAGACAATGGGATAGGCTGAAGGTTTATCAAAGATTTAGAGCTTACAGATTATCATTATAGGCCACTAATTAGAGGGTCCTTTTCCTCCAAAGTACATTCAGTTTTGGCGATTAATCTCATTACACTGTTGTTAATTTTTAGGCATTATTTATTTCACTATGTTTGGTTAATTGAAGAGCCTCTCTAACCCCAATAGGGCATCTGAGTTTATGGTGTTGAGAATAAAAAGTGAATGACCTGAGACACTGTCACCTTAACTACTCTCACCATTAGAAGTATATAAGGTTTGACCTATTTCCTTCTAGGCAGCAAATCTTCAGAGCTAGTTTAAAAGAGGTACTTTTACTTTTATGGGAAATGAGCAATAACTGTGGCTTCTCCTGCCCTTAGTCTTCACAATCCTATGCCACACACCTGTTCAATTAACACAGGGTTGAATATTTCAGTAAAAGTAGACATTATTTCACCATGCTGTTATTTCTTGGACTGCCAAATGAAGATAGATTTTTTATTTTTTTGTAGCATAAACCAACCTGCAATAGTATGGTTGTCTTATATTGACTTTTCATCAAGTTGTTGATGGATTCAAAGAGCCTTCTCATGGATTCTTCAAACTCCATCTGTTCTTTGCCTTCATAAAGCCTGAAAGAAGAGGCATCTGAGTATTTTCTCAAGCAAACAGGCAGTATCTTTGAAAATGTATGCCAACAAAAATCTTCATTTAAAATTAAAAAGAGAAAGGGGTGGGAGGAGGGAGCTAGGAGAAAAGAGAGTTGATTCAGCTGTCTTTGCAGGCAAAATTCACTCAAGGGGAACACCTTCATCCACCATGCTGTGCAGAAACCCTCCAACTGGCACTGTGTTGAGTATGCCCCCGCCCATCACTGTGTAAATCCTGAAGAAACTAAAAGGAATGAAACTTATCTGAGTTGTGGGGACATTAATAATTTCACGCTCCTGCAAGAATCAGAGGAGAGATGGGCATCAGCTTTTTCAAAGTGACTTGCAAATATCAAGGAGAAATATTCTGAAATATGTCGTCTTTGCACTTGGCCTTTGCCTACTGTAGATGAATACAGCATGTAAGGAGCATCTTTTCCCTTTATTTCCAAATTTATTTATTTATTTTCTTAAAGATTTATTTACTTTACGCACACAAGAGCTGGGGCACACAAGAGGTGTGGAGGGTGAGAGGATTCACCAGAGACAGAGTAGGGAGCAGAACAGGTGGATTAACTGAAATACACTGCTGAGGGGAGCAGCAGGTAGACTGGAGAGGTCTGCTGTGCCACGTGGGTCACCGCCCTTACTGGCTGGGGTTCAAACTCCTGCTACAGTTGCTGCTCCTAGCTTCATAGTGCTGCACTTTAACCAGTTACACCACCAGGAAGGGCATTATTTCCAAATTCAAACCTTTAGTTCTGATTATAAAGGAACTATGCTGCTATTGTTAGGAAAAAAAAAAAAAGCAAACAACTAAATAGTACATTATGACGTATATCCTTCTAGAGATTTTCAGTGCTTATACTAATATACATATTTAACTTTCTATGAAATTTTCCTGTTTTATAAAAATGAGTCTTGGACCCAAGTCTTATCACCCTCTTGACCCAGTCTTGGAGTATTATTCAGTCCAAGGCCTCTCCAAACAGGCTTTTATCAGCAGCAGTGAAAAATCCTCAGTTTAATCTGTGGCATCCTGTGCAAATACTGAGAAGAAAGCTCCTGTCTCCAGTTCAGATAAAGAGTGTCTCCTGTCACATCCCTACACAGTCAAATTCTCCTGGGCTACTGGCCATGGTAAAGGTGCTTTGCTCAGATAAAGCACTGACACACTTAATGGGTTTGTTTGCTCTGCCAATCACAGTACTATGTCCATCACCATCACCTCAACACTGCCTCATGAAATCCTCACTTACCCCCTTCTCCTTTTTCTCTTCTTTCTGCCTCTTTTCTACTTCTTCCTCTGTCCTTAAATGTGTTTCTCTCTGTTGATCTGTGTACTAATCTTTCTCTCTGGGTATCAATTTCTCTCTCTTAGTCTCTCTTTCTCTGTCCTAAAGTTTATTTCCTGAAGTAGACACTTAGGATGAAGCCAGTTTAGAATATTTCATTCATGACAGGGACCTTAGCAATTGTGGCTGACTTTCTGCCCAACTAGTTAAAGGTCAGAGACAGGGATGTAAGAAGAGCCTAGAGTCCTTTATCCCCCACTCTCTCCTATATTCTATCTCACACCCCTCCTTTCCCTACCCCACTTTTCTTGCTGAACACTCTTTTCCTCCCCAACACTACTCACTCTTGGATCTTCTACTCCTACTAGAACAGAGCTCTGTCATACAGTTTGTTTTCTAAAGTGACTAGACTCTGGCTTCCAATCTCTGTTCTACCTATACCAACTGAAGACTGCAGACCTTATTAAGTAACACCAAAAATTACAGAGAAACATCACGAATAGATATTATCACACCCCCATTTTACAGATTACACTTTAATCAACATGCCATGGACTTCACAGCAGTCAAGCGTGACTTGTATCCAAAGCTGGCCTTGGGCACCAGACCCAGCCCTTGCTATCAGTTCACACCCCACTTTGCTCTCTTTTATGCTGATCCTCATGATTCCCTGATTTCTCACAAAATGTGGCCCTAACAGCACTGTATGCTAGTATAGTAAGGAAATCAGCTCTCTCTCCAAGTGTTCACCACATGCTTGGCCCCACTAAATGTTAGTTGTCTTGCTGTTATCACTTGTAGGAATAGGAGAGTTATTACAACCATCCCCAAGTCACAGCAAAGGAAGGACACAGAAAGAGATCTGGTGGAAGAGAGATCTGACAGGCAAGAAGAAGGTATCCTAATTCAAAGTGGTGGTTATTTTCCTCATGAAACAGTACTGTTAGTTCTTTTTTATTACCAAAGTAAATCTAATGGATGGTTGATGCTCCAAGACTTTTGCCTTGAAATTCGTTATTCTTTTCATACCCATATCTACTTAAAAATGTCTAATATTTTGGCCCTCCCTGGTGGCGCAGCGGGTTAAAGTACTGCACTAAGAAGCTAAAGCCACTTCTGCATGAGTTCGATTCCCGCCTGCCCCGGAGGAGACCACATAGCGCGGCAGACCTCTCCTGACCCGCCTGCTGCTCCCCTCAGCAGTGTACTTCGTCGATCTGCCTGTTCTGCTCCCCACTCTGTCTCTGATGAAGTCTCTCACCACCCTTGAGTCTCTGGCCTGTACCCCAGTTCTGTATGCACAAATAAATAAAACTTTGAAAAAAAAAGTCTAATATTTTAATGACATTTTCACTGACATTTTTTAATAACAGTCCCCCTTACTGGTATAGTGTCTCCTAATAATAATACTTAATACCATAGTGGTGTTGTCATTATTTACATGCACATGAAATTTCTCTGTAAGGTATACTGTGTATGTGTGTGTGTGTGTGTAGGGAGACAAGACCTATTCTTAGGAACCACCTGTACTGCCTACAGGACTGGTCCTGCTGATTGACCCTATCATCCCTACTTCCACCCCACTTCCACAACCAAGTGATCCCAAAGAAGTTTTCCTGTTTTCTCTCTCTGGACTTTGTCATTTTAAACAGGGGGGGGGGGAGGGCTTGTTCTATGTCACTGAGGGGAAATGGTGTCAACTCCTGCCAGGGATACCTGAAGCTACCCTGGTTCCTGACCTCTTTTGTCTATATGAGCTGCACAAATGTCCTTCCAAATCAAGAACTCTTTTTCCTTAGATAAACTCTGGCTTTGTGGTGCCCTTTCCTTGTTTGAGTCTCTGGAAGGGCTGGGGTGATTTTCTTCCTGCAGCTCCCTGGAGGTCTAAACCCAGAGCTACAGACACTAAACCAGTGAACAGTTACTCCATGCTTCCCATGTACACATGAAGAAACTGAGGGCCAGAGTAGGGAGGTGACTTAGCACCACCTCTGTTTTATAAATGTCATTTGACTGAGATGGGGAGGCAAGACAATCAGGCTGTAAGTTCAAATGACAGCCCACTCAACTTTCACCTTTGTAGGAAACTTAATTTGATTTTTAAAACAAAGGCACATGTGATTTGCTCTAGGTCACCGACTGAACCTGTGGTATAGCTCACAGCCGAAGTCAGCTTTCTTATCTTTCTAGCCACTGAGAGTCTAACAAGAAGGCAAATGACTCAGCTCCCAAGAGGCCAACAGCAGGGTGGGCATCTGCCTTAGTGGGGCTCCAACTGCTCCCTGTTAATACCACACTCCAGTCCAGCAAAGGAAATATATTCTACATGTGTCTCAGTTTTATAAAGGATAAAACACAACTCTGTAGGGAAATATATTTTACAGTGACTACATTTGTTAAAAAAAATTATTCATAGAAGAACTGAGGTGCAGGCCAGAGATGCAGGGGGGGAGGTGGGGGGGGGGCGGGGGTGAGAGGATTCACCAGAGACATAGTAGGGAGAAGAAAAGGTATATATACTGAAATACACTACTGAGGGGAGCAGCAGGTGAGTCAGGAGAGGTCTGCTGTACCCTTTGGGTTAGCACCTGGAGGGGTATGGAACTCATGCTACAGTGGCTGCCATAATGTGAGGCTTAACCCCTAGCCACCAGGGAGACCCCTAAGGTTATTACATTATTAAGCAAAATTGATATACTCATCACTTATATGTGTAAATGTCTAAGCTTAGAGTTTTACTTGGTGAAATGGAAAGTAGAGTTGGAGGAAATGACTACAGTTGAGAAGAAAAAAGCAAACAAAAGGCTATTTAGTGCAAAGGGCTTTGCTATCTAGCCAAATGTTTCCAGACATTGGCTGTGCAGACTCAGACGAATTATGTCTGTGATTTTACCTTCCCTATTGATAAAAGAGAGACATCATGCTCACTCAGAGGATTATTTTGGGATGGAAGAAAATGAGATGATGTCAATTAATATTGTAGCAGGTGCTTAATAAGTGTCAAGTAAGTATCAGCTCTTCTTATTGCTGTTGTTGGTTCCTACTCAGGAAAGTAATCATAATGGCAAACTCTCTGACCTGATTCAACATAAATGAAAGGGCTATTTCAAGGAAGGAGTGACTAAGGCAAAATAAACACATAAGGTGGAAGAAATACAATGATGATGCGGGGGGTGGGGGTCATTCAGCACTGTGGGTCCTCCTCTGAGAAACATGGAGGAGAAAGAAAAATAATGCCTCATCTATCTGCAAGGCTTTACATGTGGCCTTGAAGTCAAGGGCACAGCAGATGTAGTTTCAAGGTCCTATTTTAGCACTGGGCTCTGCTGTAGCTTCAGGAGAGAAACATTTTTTTTCTGGTTTCAAACGCCTAGAAAGATGCTTCAGAAACCAGCTGATCCTGCCAGGGAACGAATTATTGAAGGGCCCTAAGGCCCAGACCACAAGGAAAAGTGGAGCAGCCTGTAAGGCACTGTTCGGGGGCAGGGAGTCGACCGCAGCAAGCTCCCAGTGCCTGGATAAATATAGCAATGCTCGCCGTGCATGTGATTCATTAGGAGACACTGTGCACAGCTGAGCACTCACTAAATGCAAATGGCCCCCATATGGTGTGTACAATGCTTGATACCACCTCTTTCACACAGGTACACAAAGCTTCAGCCTCAACCAGAGACACCCACCTCAGGC